CCTGTAAATAATGGTCACCCATACAAAAAAGTTTCTATCAGAAAGTGACTGGAATAGGTATGGTTTCGTCCTCAATAGAATCTTGCAGAAAAATGTTTTCTAAATCTTATGAGACGTCTCCGAAGTCTGAGTGACTTTTAGCTTAGGCGGGAAACGTTCTATAACAGTACGGATCTAATCACAAATTTGGGTTTGTCTGAAGTTAAAGGTAACAGCCATGGCAATAATATTCCAGAGATGGACTTCTGATTTCTAGTAACAATGTTCTTGTGAAAATAGATTGTCAGATGGTGTCTGATTTTTGATGATAACTGTTCACACAATTTTACTGAGAATAACAGCATAAATTCCGACACTTTTACGATGTTTCTCCATCTATTTCTGGCATTTTAAAACCAAGTCGAACTTTTTATCTATTAAGATTTTTATTGTAACTAATTTTTTTTCTTCACCTCTCGAAGTTTACATTATTGCATGACTAACTTCTCTCCTTTAGAGTATTTTGAAAATAATATTATAATCCGGTTGTTGGTTCCGTCATGTTCTTGTTCTCGGTGAGAGAATCGAGGTGTATGTTACTGATTAGTTAAGTGTTTTGGACTTGTCACAGAATATGTGACTAATGCACTTTTTTGTAGATAAAGTTGATTTTAGAACGATTGTAAAAGAACGATGTATGTATACCCCGTATATAAAATTAACATGCGGTTCTTTTATCGCTTCTTTTATCAAAAAAACAAGAATAAATACGTTTAATATCAACAGTGATTGAGTATGACACAGCTGCTGGTGCCATATAACCAAAAAAAGCAGAAAGCAACAAAAAAATATTTTGTATGCTTGTTGTTGATGTGAAAATAATCTCTGCATTCATGCTGAGAGAAAAAAAGCAGCGTTAACAATGTAGTAATGTAATGTGATATGTAGTATGAGTGAAGTCGATTATTTAGATCGTCTTGGTAATTTATTACCTTGGCAAGTAACATTGTCGGAAAATGATAGAATAATTATTATATTAATTGCATCATGTTTTGTATCGTTTATTGGATTTACATTACTATGTCTAGTATGTCCACAATGTCCGCTGAGACGACACTGTGCAAAGAGGAAAAGTAGACGTAAGTAAATTTCTCTAAAATTTTAAAGATCGCCATTAACTGAGGAGATAACTTTTCCCCATAATTGAAAACTTTTTATATTAAAACTGGTTTTTTTTTATACCAATCACGAATCTGACATCTGTTTGTGCTCTTGTTGAGTTTCAAAATGAATCTTTAAAAATCTGGTCTCTGGAGACCCATCATGAATCTGCCAACCAGGAGGCAGATTCGTGAGATTTTGATTTGATTAGTTTGTAAAGCTCATCGAGTTCCTATGTTGGCCCAATAAACTTTCAAGTATAGCGAAAGACATGACCGTTTCAACTTCATAACTAGAATTTTTATAACTAAATTAAAACTTTGTTTACTAGTTCTAAAGTTTTTTTCACATAGATAACTCGATGATCTCCACAAACCAGACAGATTAGAATCTCTTGATTAGCAAATTTATGATAGGTCTCGTTAGATCGAATTTCCATAGGTCCATTCAGAAAACTCAATAGGAGCACAAACGGTGCACGGTAAAATACTCTAGAGAAAACAGTTTTATACAGCAGAGCTTTTATTCACATAGAAAGTTTTCCTCGTGAAAGTAAAGTTACCCTAGTGAAAAACTTACTTGAATCTTATTAAGGTCTTCGTAAGATTTCGGTTACATTTGTCTACGATTTTTTTCAAAATTGGATAAGAATCTGTTAGGATCTGAATAGTAAGAACGATGACGTTTTTTAAATAATATTCATTCGAGATTTGCTGAAAATTTTTCAGTTTTTAATCCATATTATCCAAAGCAGCAGTTGAACAGTGTTGAAAAAAGAAGAGAACTTTCATATTTTCGCGTGTCCATCCTTGACCTACATGTACACTCTCTAAACAGTTGTTGAACACTTTCGAGAGAGCAAGTACTAGCAGAATCTGGAAGAAAAATAATTGCTAAATCACTCATATTTTCGGAGTTACTTATATAGATGAATGAGAGAAAAAGCCAAGGGGTAAATGGAAGTAGAGTCATTAAATCTTATTAAGATCTTAGTAAGATAATTTTAATAAGTGTCTAAGATTTTTACTAGAGTATGATTTCACGAGCAGATCATCTGCTGTTGGCACTATCAAGTAGATAGTCCCAAGAGGTCCGTTAGACTATCAACTTTAAAAAATATAATTGTGTATGATGTATTCCTTTTAGACAAAGAACAATTTATCCTTTCATTGCCGCCTAACACTAGTGTATTATTACCACCTAAATATGAGTCAATATTGGTCGATGATTATGCAATACAAAAACTGAGTACCAGCAAATATTTAGAATTAGGTAGAAAACAGTCTTGTATGACGTCAGACAGCGATGGAAAATGTTCGTCCACAGTAAGTTAACTACACACGTTTTTCATGAATACTATGTAGTTACCATCAATTGAGACTGAACTCTTTCCGAAAATATGAAAGAAGATGTTTTATTTCATATAGATCTCCTTGTTGCAATATCCCAATATGATTATTGCAAACAATAACGTAATAAACGTTTCTATACTATTATTAAACTGCATATGGCCGAAATGACCTCATAAGGGCAGAACTAACGCTTCAGAGTATAGAAATCGGATTACCTATATAAAAAAATGGTTATCACAAAATAATGGTTAACCACTGGTGCAATTTATGCTAGAAGTCATTACAAGTCGCGCCGTTAGAATGATGCCATCTGCAAGTATTCCAAAATTAACATCTTCAGGGATTAATCAAAATTTTGTGACAATCATATTTTTAGATGGGCAATCCGATTTCTATACATAACACATAGCATTATCAGTTCTAGTGTTTTATTCTGTCAGCTGTGTAACGAGTGTACCAGAAGCATTGGGGCACTTAGTATTTCGCAAATATCTCTGCTAGTTTTCATTGCCAAAGCTCGAACTTCTTTCTAAACGCGTCCTCATTCAATTCTCTACAAAAACTATATTGAACATTTTTCACACATAGTATAAATAAAGGAATATGGATGAAACACTGCGAAGTTCCAGTCTCCATTGCTGTGTAGCCTAAAAAATAGTTTTTGAATTTTAGTCTTTGTAACTTGCGAAATAAGATAAGTAAAAATGACTATTTTGTAGCCCTTGAAAAGGTCTCTCAATTGGTCACATTAAACTTTTCATCATTACAATTGGTTGTGAGAGAATACCTTTTCATTTATCGATTTTACCAAAGATCATTGGCCTTAAACCTCAGTTTTGGAGCACATGGAAAAACATTTATAAATCGAATATTTTGGAGCCAGGGTTCTCTCATCTTAAAATAAAATAATTTTTCTATTGCATCCGAACATAAAGGTTCAATAGCTGCATTCTTTCTGCTATGTCAGGGCGAACTAGTCAAAACTTTCCTCGTTTCTGATGAATTTGATAAAATCGCCGTCTGCGCCAGAAAGACGCAGAACCAACCTATGGCAGGTGAAAAGAAAGGCGATACATCAGAGGACTAGCGGATATGTTTTGATTTTTATAGTTTTTGTGACGAGAATATGTTAAAAAGAAGTTTCAGTCTCGGCAATGAAAATTGACACAGATATCGGCAAAATACTAAGTGACCCATTTCTTCTGGTATATCTGTTAGTATTGTTTTGTGCTGTACTTCCTTGCTCTCTCTCTCTCTCTCTCTCTCTTTCAATGTTTTTCTGAGGCTAAGAATCATATCTAAACTCACTGTTACTTCTACGAATTATTATTATATGGTTGAATATGACTAACATTAACTGATTTTATCCAAATTAGTTTTGACATAATCAGTAATATTAATAGAAATTAAATCATTAGAAGTCATTTTTCTTTTAAGAATGATCATGACGCTAACATATTTCGATTTGACTCTCATCGTTCATCTGTTTCATTGCCCAATTTGTATTCACCACCTTATGCACAAGTTCAACTTCGATACTATTATGATTTGGAAAAGAATGTATTCAATGTTCACTTATCAAATTGTGAACATTTTCCCTGTCATCCAGCATTCGGTGAACAAGGTGATTATTTTATTAAAATTCAATTATTAACAAATAAATTATTGAAAAAATTAAAAGATGCCTATAAAAAACGTCGTCTAAGTCTACATTCATCATCAAAACGTTCACAACAACTGGAACAAACAACGAAACATTTGTCACGTACAATGAAAAATATAATTAGTTGCAATGAACAACTACAGTTTATTTTTGATTCAACAAATGGCAATAATAACGTAATAAATACGGTTATTAATTCGTCGATGAGAATTTTGTTGTATTGTTGTGATCGATATGGAATTCAAGATTTAATGTTTGAACAATGGATCTATTTACATAATCTCACTATCAAGTCATTATGTAAACCAAATGAACAAGTGCAGCAAGTAGAATTCAAACAAACACCAAAGGCAAGCGTTATTCTTTACTAATTTAGTCCATCTCATTTCTGATATTATGTTGAGCTAAGCTATGATTCAAAACTAATTGCCCAAATGGTATGCATTCTTTCTACATGTTTTCGATATACTACAAAGTAAACTTTTTCGATTTGAATAAGCACAATTTGACCTTTAAACAACATAGAAAATAAGTTTTTTATGATTGAATTTGAACGAGAAAAATTTAAATGTCAAATATCGCTCTTGCAATTTTCGTAGTCTTCATACGCCTCTTTCTCATCAAGCGTTTTTTGTTCCCATAACAGAATACGTTTGAAATTATATAATTATCGAAATCAGAACAGAAGTTTTTATGTTTCTTTTGAATGGGGGTATGAACAAACATGTTTTGATCCACTTTTCAATCAAAAACTGCTGAGTTTTTTTATGCACTTAAAAAGAAAACGATTAGTCATTCTCAACAAACTCGCTTCTGTTCTAATATTTTACTAACACCTTTTGAGTCATGAATGAAGAAAGTTTCTCAGTGTACCATATTCTTCATGTAAAATAGTGTTTGTACTAAAACTTCATTTTATCATACGTCTTTTTTACTATTAAAGAGAAATTTTCAATGTACACTGATCGATACGGTTTTGTACGGACTACATTCTCACCTATTTGGTTGTCAAAAAAGTTTTCGTTTCAAGCTATCGTGGGAAAATAAAGAAAAAGCAGAGGCTTTTTGGCAATATTTGACATTTAAATTTTTTCTCGCTCAAATTAAATAATAAAAATCTTGTTTTTTGAAGCCCAAACTTTACTCTTTCCAATCAAAAAACAGTTTACTCTGTAACATGCAGAAATAATACTTAACATTTTTCCAATTACTTTTGGATCGTACGTTAATAATGAAAGTATGAGTACCTAAAACAGTGCACGGTGGGCAACCATGTGAATATTATGTGAAAAAACGAAAGTGGACTTTTGGCAAATTCAAATAGCAGAGTGTCAGTTCTATGTTTTTATGCGCAAAAAATCGTTCGATTTAATGAAATGACAGATTTGCAGCATTCCCGTAGCAATTTTGGGTAGGCATGTGAACATGTGCCATAAAAGTGAAACGAAAGCCTCTAAGCATTATTTTTATAGGTTTTCGTATGCATTCTTTCCAATGGTGTGGCTTACAAGTTCAGCGATATTTTTATCTGGGTTTTCCAAAGGTTCGATCTTTGAAAAACCCGAGTAAAAGTGCTTTTGAACTTTGTCAATCACACCAGTAAAAGAACGCATACGAAAACCTATAAAAATAATGCTTAGAGGCTTTCGTGTCACTTTTATGGCACATGCTCACATGCCTAGTCCAAGTTGCCCACTGTGCAACGCTATAACTACTATTATAGCAAGCTTGTAAAATTCATTTCAACTTGTAGAAGTTTATTGAGGCCCCTCTCTGAGAAATAGGAAATTTTTGTAGAAAAGTCAATATTGAGCTAAGCACATTATTAGATAGCCCAATTCAGCTGCTATCTGAATCCACAATAGTAAGACTTTCATCGAAGGTTTCTGCAAGTTTTCCAGATAGTTTCCTAAAAGCGCTGAAAAACTAGCTTTTTCACTGACTGCGTGTTGGTTTAAGCTTTAATCTTGAACGAGAACGAAATCGAGAATATAAATTCCCATTATATCATTCTGAAACTTAAACTATCAAAACACAAAAAAATAAATCCTTGCACGAAGCTAGGATCGAACACACGAACTTGATCTCTGCAGACGAACTGCAAAAATCAACTTCGCTGTACAATCATAAGGTAAACATTCCTTGAAAGTTTGGAAATACATTTCTAACGGGGCGGCCTTAATGAAATATCACTTATTGACATGAATAAAATTTGTTTATAAAACTTACTAATCTCATTGTAATATTAGATATCTTATGGTGAAGTTTATTTGGCCTTGAGTTATCTACCAACAGCTGAACGATTGACAATTAGTGCATTGAAACTAAGATGGTTTTTTAAAGTGGATAAAACCGAAAGAACTGGTAAGTATTGAAATTAAATATTAGACGTACTACAATCGAAGAGCTACAACTTTACAGAACGTTACGAACTTACGTAAAAGTTGACTCTTACAAGCACCTGTATGTCGAGTATGATAGTGTTAACTTTAATCGTTAAAGAAAATTATACGGAGACATAAGTTACTAGAGTTTGCAGCAAGTCTTTGTCAATATGAGAAAAACAAGAAGTAGCCAATTGCTCGATACAAGCGCAAAAGTGTCACATGCGAAAACCTACAGATATAGAAAAATTATTATCAGCTCTAACTTCTTGTGAAAACAGAACATTGCCACAAGAATCAATGTGATCTATAGCCTATGTCTCAGAGCAGTTGTGTAATCTTCGGGGGGGAAAAAACGGACTCCATGGACTGCTGAAGTCCAGGAGTCCAAGAGCAAAGTGTTCTTTTTTGGGAAGTGATTTCCAAAAAAGAACACTTTTTCCATAGGAGTCCGGAGTCCGCTTTTCCCCCCTTGGTAATCTTTCAAGGACCGATCGGTGAAGAATCACCTGAAACTGCAAATTTTTGACTAAGGAAACTGCAAAAGATTTGAAGAAGACTTTTCCAAGATTTTTAGTAGCGGTTTGTCGTAAAGAGTTCATTCAATTTTTGTTTAAAAGAGGAAAAGAAACAGTTTTCGGGTTTTGGAGGTTGTTAGTTGTCTGGAAAATCAATAAAAGCTTAATTAAAAAATCGGCGCGGGTCAGTCCATGTAGTTAGGTGTCTAGCTTAAAATAAAACAAACTCGAACTCTCCAGCTTGAAGTATGTTAAAAACTCTTGGGAAGTACTTCAGGGTCCTTTTTGAACCTTGATCTCTGGAAAACTAGTGAACGGTAAGACTATAAGACAAAAAAAAGTTTTCATTCCCGTAACTCATTAAGTCGAATATTTATTAAAAGTTTCGTCAAGATCGAATTTGCGGTGTCGGAGATAATTTCTGAGAGGTAGGGGGCCATTAAACCATAGAGTAGTTGAAATCGAGCAGGTTTTGAAAATTTGAAACAATTTGATTGAGAAATGAAGAGGCGCTATAAGGTTTTTATTTTCGTATGGTTAGAGGGGAAAAAACGTTTTTTTCTGAAACCCATCTTTTGCAGTTTCCATTATCCGAACAACAAAACAAACATTGACACAGTATTCAACGTGTCCGATAGCCTATGCGTTTTTGAGGTTCCAGGAGCTCGGATTTGACTGCCAGATAAGTCATCAGAGATTTCCTGTAGTGTCCGAACCATGGTTGATGTAAATGTGGGACCTGCGACAATCTGTAGAACGACATCTACTCTATATCCAGATGTACTAAGAGCAATATCCCCCTATGTGAACTTTTGGAACGATAGGCTCGGACTTTCTGCTTAGAGAGGTACACCGTGTTACACCTATTGAATAAGGCTCATTCCAGCATAGACTTATGCCCCCCTCCCCCCGGATATCCTCTTTCATAATGTGAAAACTGCAGCTCTCCAGCTCATTCCATTCTCGAGTTATTCAAAAAACAATGAACTGTCTTGTATTTTAAAATGGATAGTATTATGAGAAAATTCGACATGTTTTTCTTTTTCTTAATTTAGATGCTCTTTTGACGTTTACATTTTTTCATGATGGACGACGATTTTATCAACAAAAACTCGATCCTGTTCAAATATTGGATGATGTAAAAGATAAAGAATGCGAAATGAAAACTATCGTAACAAGTTCAGTTCCAAAAGATGATATTAGAAATATAAATTTACATATTGGTTTTAATATTTATCTTTCTATATCAAAAGAATCAATTAATTGTGGATCAATTGTTCTTGGAGAAAAAACACGATTTGAAGTGGATTGGACACGAATGATTGATCAACCAAGACAAGTACATAATGCATGGTATCCACTCTACGGCTAATATAAATTATTTTTCTTGTAATATTATATATCTATATCTATATACATATATTTTTTAATTAATAAATAGATTTAATCTAAGTTTATATACAAGCTGTAATTTTAAAGAGAGAAATAATCCTCTTCAACTGAGCAAACATTCTTTCTCATAAATATTAAAAAAGAATAAAAAGTTTTCGATTGTCTAACTAAACACAATCTTACTTATTATTCTAAACTTGTCACCAATAAAATTTGATTCTTGTATTTTTAAACGACTCGTTTAGTATTTGATAAACGTCTAGAATTGTTTATTTTATGAAACATGTCTTGACGATGATTTTGTTGTGATTGTTTAGCAGAATTTTCTTTAATTATTGCTAATGTTGATATACCTGTTTTTTGATGATGAGATTTTCTTGTATTCATTGAACGTATTGTTGAATCCGATATTGGATTTCGATAGGATGGTGATAGTTGTTCAGATGCAACCTATAGAAGAAGAAGAAAATAAAACAAAATGGAGAAAAATAACATTTTGAGTTTCAGAAGTCACTTACGGGGGGAACCTTTCGAGATGTCCTCCTTCCCATTCCAATGATTTGTACATGGATCGATAGATCTCGGTAAGGCACTAGATATCCTAAAAGGATTCGTGTCCATGACTCTTGAAGACCCGGTTTTCTGAAAAACTAGTTTTTCGACAACTCTAAAAAATAAACAAAAGCTTTTTTTAATGAAATATAATTGTAGCTCGCAAATTTCTAATTAAAATGAGACATCTCTCAGCTCTACACCACCTTTCTTTGCAAAGTTATAGAATTTAGAAGAAAAGCCGAAACCTACAGCTCAAAGCTACCGAAATAAGAAATGAATTTAGGACTTTTCTTCTAAATTTTATAACTTTGCAAAGAAAGTGGTGTAGAGCTGAGAGCTGTCTCAATTTAATCAGAAATTTGTTAGCTACAACCATGCTTCATGAAAAAAAGGTTTGTTTATTTTTAGAGGTTTTGAAAAAACTAGTTTTCCAGAAAATCGGGCCTTCAAGAGTCATGTGCACGAATCCTTTCAGGATATTTAGTACCTCACCGAGGTCTATCGGTCTATGTGCAAGTCATTGGAATGGAAAGGGAGACGTCTGAAACGGTTTCCTTGTTAGTTCAAGTGGATGCGAAATTGAAGAAAAAAGACTCACCCATTTTTGTAGGAGTAGGCATGCACCAGTCCAATCCGATTGGGGATTGGTAGGATTGGTACCAGTAGGGCTTGTTACCAGTTAGGCTTGGTACCAATCCTACCAATCTCCATTCAGGATTGGTACCAAGCCTAACTGGTACCAATCCTCCAAGCCTAAGATTGGAACCGGTGCATGCCTAGTCGATGATGTCAGCCTGCTTTTTTCGCTTGCTTCTTTCGTTTACAGTCTAACTTTTACTACTGGTTACTCAAGAACTCTTCAAAGAGGAGTTTCTTTGTTTAATTCACTCAACCGCATTTTGAAAGCCTAAATTTATACTA